TTCTTCCAATTCATGAGCATGGAATATTTTTCCATTTGTTTCTGTCATCTTTGATTTTTTTTCAGTAGTGTTTTGCAGTCCTTCTTGTAGAAATCTTTCACTTCCTTGGTTAGATGTATTGCTAGGTATTTTATTTTTTTGTTGACTATTGTAAATGAGGTTGCAGTCTTGATTTGTCTCTTAGCTTTAATGTTATTGTTATACAGAAATACTACTGACTTTTGTACATTGATTTTATATCTTGAAATTTTACTGCAGTTGTTTACTATCAGTTACAGGAGCCTCTTGGTGGAATCTTTAGGATCTTCTAGATATAGAATCATATGGTCAGTTAAGAGAAATGACTTGACTTCTTATTTTACTATTTTGAAGTCTTCTCTTTTTTCTTATTGCCTAATTTCTCTGGCTAGGACTTTGAGTACTATGTGGAATAGGAGTGGTGAGAGTGAGCATCCTTGTCTGGTTTCAGTTCTCAAGGGAAATGTTCCAGCCTTTGCTGGTTCATTGTGATGTTGGCTGTGTGTTTGTCATAGGTGATTGTTACTATTTTGAAGTATGTTCTTTTAATGGCTAGTTTGTACAGGGATTTTATCATGAAGGAATGCTGGATTTTTTTTTTTTTGAAGGCTTTATCCACTTCTGTTGATATGACCATATGGTTTTTGTTCTTAATTCTGTTTTTATGCTGAATTGTATTTATTGATTTGCATATGTTGAACCAACCTCTCATTCCAGGAATGAAGGCTTCTTGGTTGTGGTTAATTAATTTTTAAATGTATTGTGGGATTCAGCTTGCAAGTATACTGTTGAGAATTTTTGCATCTATGTACATTTGGAATATTGGCCTATAGTTTTCATTTTTCACTGTGTCTTTCCCATGTTTTTGGTATCATAATTATGCTGGCTTCATTGAATGAGTTAGAGAGAAGTTCCTCTGCCCAGTTTTTTGGGAATAGTTACAGTAGAATTGGTACCAACTCTTCTTTGCTGGTCTAGTAGAATTTGGCTCTGAGTCCATCTGCTCTGGGGCTTGGTTTGGTTGGTAAATTTGTTACTACTGATTCAATTTCAGAATTTGATATTGTTCTGTTCAGAATTTCAATTTCTTGCTGATTAAATGTTGGAAGGTTATGTGTTTCTAGGAATTTATCAGTTTCCTCTAGATTTTCTAGTTTGTGAGCTTCAAAGTGTTTGTAATAGTCTCTGAGGATTTTTGTATTTCTATGGGATCGGCTGTAACATCACCTTTGTTGTTGTTGTTGTTATGTTTTGTTTTGAGATAGTGTCTTACTGCAGTGCCCAAGCTGGAGTGCAATGGCAAGATCTCGGCTCACTGCAACTTCCTCCTCCCAAGTTCAAGTGATTCTCCTGCCTCAGCCTCTTGAGTAGCTAGGATTACAGGCACATACCATCATGCCCAACTAATTTTTGTTATTTTTAGTAGAGACAGGGTTTTACCATGTTTGCCAGGCTGGTCTTGAACTCCTGCCTTTGGGTGAACTGCCTGCCTCAGCCTCCCAAAGTGTTGAGATTGCAGGCATAAACCACCATGCCTGGCCCCTTTGTTGTTTCTCATTGTACTTATTTAGCTCTTCTCCCTTTTTGTCTTTGTTTATGTAGCTAATGGTTTAGTGATCTTGGTGATCTTTTCAAATAACCAACTTTTGGGTTTGTTTATTGTTTTTATGGATTTTTTAAAATCTCAGTTTCATTCAGTTACACTCAGATTTTAGTTATTTATTCTGCTAGCTTTGAAGTTAATTGATTTTTGTTCTTCTAATTCCTCTAGGTGTGATATTAGATTGATAACTGGTGATCTTTCTAAATTTCTGAGGTATGCATTTAGCACTAATAGCTAATTTTTAAGAGCTTAAATTCTCTTCCTAGAAGTGAGTTTTTAAAATTCTTAATGGAAAAGAAGCATCTCTATTTTAATTCCTACCAAACCTGGAGAGTAATCTTGGAGTTTTAAAATCCTTGAGCTATTTTATATATTCAATTATATTGTATATTACTATAGAAAAACTATTTACCCTATGTTACATGTAATATAGAGTATATGTCTATGTACCCATATATATAAAGTATCATTTCTTGAATGCACTAAAAATGTAGGAAATCTAAAAAAGGGATTTATAAGCTCTACTGAGCACCAGTGTCCCCAAGACATTTCTAAGAATGCCAATTGCTGTGTGTGTGTGTGTGTGTGTGTGTGTGTGTTTAGTGAGAAAGAGAAAGAGACAGTCCTCAGTTCTTGGATACAACCTAATCATAGACATTCACAGACATGCATTTAGGAGCTACTCTTCAAGGACACATGCATAAGTGAAACAGAAACAAATCCATATTTCATTTTAGATATATGTTGATATTTAGAAAAAAAAACAATTAAATGTCATACTTCTAAAATAAATTTATTTATAGTTAAACATACATGTGTAAGACAGGATTTTTAAATGTATTATTAACTAACATAGACTGTCTTTATACAGCATAGAATCTTTATTTTTCTTTTTTACTTGGATGAATGAAATTGAAAAATGAAAATGAAGTAAATGCAATCTCAATAGCAATTGGCTCCTATATCTTTCTTTCTGTGTCCTTTCCCTTTCTGCTTTTCTCACTTGTCCTCCAAATGAAGATTATAGTGTGCTAGAAACAGGTGATGTCAATAGATCAATTGGGGATAAAATACTGATTTTTTTTGTTCCAACTCCAATAAAATATCATTAATATTATAGCCTATGTGTTTTTTATTATGATTATTGTGTTCCTGGGTCTCTTTATCCTTACCAAAAATTATTGCTACATTTCAAATTCATAATGATCAGTCACAATAATAATAAAAAAACTGATAAAAATAATAAAATTACAGGTTTCAGCTCCCAAGACTGTTTTAGGAAGATACCTTTGCTAATCCAAACAAAGCTTTGGATGATTCATCACTGATCATAACCAAACACTTCCTGTTATTATACTCGTTGGATAAATAAATGAGAGACTATGTAGATTTCAGTACCAGCTAAGTGAATGTTGTGTTTTGCATGTTACTCATAATTTCTCCCATCTGTGGAAAAATGAATTTTTTCCTATAGTGTATAGTAATGATATTTTCTCTTTATCATAAACATGGTTTTACAATTAATAAGCTGTTGTAGACCTCCTATCAGTATTTCAGAGCTATAGTATAGCAGAGGGCTGTTATTTAATTGACTATATTGTCATTAAAAAAAAAAGATCAGTAAGAAAAGAAACTGTTCTAATAGGCAAAATATAGAAAGAAGATAGTCTCAAACAAATATGGTGATTGTCCTTCGATACTCTACACATAAGAAAGGAAAGATGCTCCCATCAAAAGCTAAGTAAATCAAGTACCTCTTCTTAGAATTGGTTCTCCCTGCTTTTAAACAGTTGAATTAGGCTATCTAGTAATGTTAACAAGCATTACAATCACACAATCTACTGCCTCATTTTAATTTTCACATCTACCAAGCAACTATGTTATGGCTTACCATTTAGTTTGTATACAGGAAAATAATGCATTGCTGTAGACAGTTTTCTTAGTATATTTTTTGTATATTGTATTTTATGTATTTATTTTCAGTCTGTTGAGCAGTTATGTAAATCAAGGTAATAGAACAAATCTCAGCAAGTTGACACATCACACTGTGAGCTGAGAAGGTTAAGTGTCTTCATGATACCAATGATTCTTATCTTGATCGGAAACTTTGAGATTTTGATTCAACTGAAGTAAAAATAATGAAAATTTTTATAGCAAGCCCCCCAGATATTTGTGCTACAAGTTGTCTGAAGCCACCTTTGAGAAACTCTTCTAGTTATAACCTAAAATAAAGCTTTCTGGGGGGATATTCAGCCAGCCTTCCTTGGGTGAAACTATAGTTGCTTCCATTTCCAATCTTTCAAAACACCCACTCAATATTATGTTGGTGAACTGCGTTTCTGAATGATATTTATAGTGTTATAATGTGTCTTAGGAAAATATGTTTATAACTACGATATAAAAGGGAATCATTGATTTTTCTACTTGTCATAATCAAAAACATTGAATTTCTTTTCTACCTCCAACATGTTTCGGAAGATTGTGAAGAATAAATAATGAATATGGATGATCTAAATGAATATAAAAAGTGTCAAATGCTCCATCTTTTGACTAAATAATAGTAATTTTAGAAATATTTATTTTATATAAATATTTTTATTTTAATGATGTATACACCTGTTATTTTGTAAGTTATATAATTTAATGTGGGTGTCTGTCTATGTGTGGGTGTGTAAATATATGCTGCAACTATATCTATCTGGTTGCAGTATTTGTCTTTTGATGAGCAGATTTGACTCAGTGATTTGGAGACTGGATATGTATACCATTCATGTACCGCTTCATGAAAAATACCACAGAAATTCTAAGGATAAGCTTCCTAGACATAAGAGGTTCAAGAATGTATGAGTAACCATAAAATTATATAAAACAAAATTTAATAAGATTATTAAGGATGAAAGATAGTGTGTTTCACATGAAATTGTATGCAGATAAAGCTGTGTTCTAAATTATAATGCTAGCAAATAGCAGCGAGATAAAAGTGAGAATTGCCCTGATTTAAAAGAGTTCTGGTAATTCTATAAAACTGTGGAGGTATCTTGTTCTTTCTGGGACTCATTGTTCTCTTCTGTTAACAGGCAAAGTTTAGGTACATGATTTCTCAAGAGCCGTTGTAGCTCAGATAGGCCATGAACCTTTGATCAACTTGTACTATGTTTTGTTTTTCTAAGCAGTATTGAAATGCATATCTTAGTTTAATCCTGAATTAGAAGGTCTATCTGTATCCATTATGCCTTTGTTTTAGTTTGGGCTGTAGATAATTAAAAAATTAAAGATTGACACATGATTGTTCTAAAGTCACATATTGTTAACACAAATGAAAATGAAAATGAAGAAAAAGAATCTCATTAACTATGTTTATTTCCATCTGTGTTCACAGGAAGTTCAACACAATTGCCAGCTTCATAGAATATCTTTTTGTGCAGATGATAAAACTGATAAGAGGATATTCACTTTCATATGCAAAGATTCTGAGTCAAATAAACATTTGTGTTATGTATTTGACAGTGAAAAGTGTGTAAGTATGCCAGATGTTTTAGGGTGGTCTGTTCTGTTTTACAAACCAGGAATTGCCTTGTTTTTGGAATTAGTAAAGTATTTGAAAATGAATAAGGTCTGTAAATACTTAGCTGTACTAATAGATTTATTTCATCATGAGAATATGCTTGAGGATTTCATCCTTAACTAAGTTCTCATGTTCATGAGCATAAACTTACATGTACATTTCTTTTATTAGACTGTCATGCCAGTGTATGTTATGCATTTATTTTATTTTATAATAATTTACTCTATTTTATAATTTTAATCTCAAATATGATTTAGTATTATGCACATAATACAAAGAATAATGGTGAGCAAAAGTGTGTTTCCCCCACACCTGCAGAATCTGATGGATTTTATAAAAACAAATATTCTTAACTCTAAGAAATACAATCTGTATGGCTCCTTAAAAATATTTTCCAATACATTGAAAATTTAGTTTCTTATGTTCATTATATAAAAATCTTAATATAATGAAAGTTAATGAAATTGTGTGTATGAAACTCTATGGCAGCAGTTCTTTAATCATCTGTAACCTTAAGGAAAACCCATTGATGGCTGCAAAGAAGAAAAAAAATGTAACCTCAACAATGTTATTGGTTTAGATAGGAAATAAAACAAGTATCTATTTGCTAATTTTTCTGCTGTCAAAAATAACAGATAGCTAATATTGCTATCACTTTTATGTCATTTATTTACCTAGTTTTAATATTGAGCATCTTAAGAACAAATACCTTTTTATTCGTTCATGTGACTCCTACATACACATGCTCAATGAAACATTCCTTAGAAAACTATCATGTTGAAAACTTACCAAAAATAGAGCAAGTTATTATTTTTATTTTTTGAAGTGTAGTTCTCTAGAAAGGAAAGCTAATGTGCTAAACTACTAGGCATCATAATACGTTTTGTGAATTTGGTGAACATTATGGAACATTTCATCAGAAAAAGATACTTACCAATATAAGACAATATTTTGTGCACAATTAGACATTTTATATAGTTCAAATTGGTTTTGAATTTTATTTTATATGAACTTCTGTTGAATTAATAAATAATATTTACATATTTCAAGTGCTTTTAACCATGATTGCTTGCAGATTCTTTTCTCTATGATTGAGAAGATTAAAGTTGATATTTGTTGAATATCTTCTATACATAATTTATAACAATCTTTCACCACCTACACCAAGCAGTAAACTCAGTTATTCTTCTTTCCTGCCTTACCCATAGAAATACATTTCCTTGAGGTCCTTTGAAATGTTTCAGAGTCAGAGTTCATTATAAATATTAGCCTTCTTATAGATTTGTGCCACTTGTTTTATATTCTTTGACCCCTATCCAAATTTGCTAAATTAATATTTAAAATATAACCTTGCCAGCTTAAAAGCATAGACCCGCCTTTCTTCCTCATCATAACTGTCTGTAATTGATTATCAGAATTTTAATTTCTTTGACTCATTGTTCTCTTTGGATATAGCATATCAGCTCTATTTTCTGTTAAAGATTGAAAATAATTTCTTGAAGCCTGAGCACAGATTCACAATAATTAATGTGCATAAAAATTATAAGGGATGCCTTTTAAAAGTTCTTATCAATTGGGGCTGGAACTCAGGAAATCTACATTTATCAAGTATACCAGTGATTCTGCTGCAGGTAGAGGAAGTCCTGACTCAAAACTTGCCAGATTCTCTCCAACTATAAGTTAATATCACCTTTATGAGCTGAAAAGGGACATGTTTCCTCAGAATTTTATTATACCTGCATTATCTTCACAATGAACTTTTATCAGTGCTAATTATAATGATGACTATATTTAACAAAACTCATGTTATATGTATGTAGAATTTTTGATATGCCATCTCATGTAATTATCATTTTAAATAGTTTATCATAGAGTGCTAAAATGGGACATAAGTTATAGCATATCTTATACAACTCTCCTCCTATTTTAAAAAACCAAGACCAGAGATGTTGAAGTGAGTGTCCCAAAGTTACAAAACTAAGAAGTAAGTAGAATCAGGACTAAAATCTAAGACTCTTAATTCTCATTGCTGCAGTTATCTAATCTTGTTATGTTACTCCCATAACTGTGGCCTCCTCTAGAGTTCATCTGCTCTTATTGAGGCCTTTACTCTATTTGTTAATTGTATTTTATCTTTTTAGTATTTCTTTGAAATTGTTGAGAATCTGAAAGATGACACCTTAGTATGGCATGTGACTGGAATTCACTACTTTATTAACAGTGTCATGTTGTATTAATAGTCCTCCTTCTTCCATGGTGGCAATGAGGCCCATATGAGGAGTCAGAACATTCAACCATGCCAAATTAGAATGCTGAATCCCTATAATTACCAGGCAATAAAGAGATAGTGCATTTCCACCCTCACTGTCCTATTGGAATTGCATCAGATGAAGCCACATAAAGCAGAAAATTTAAATGATATCCAGTATTTCATCAAATTAAAATCACTTTTCATACTAAGAAACAGGTTTCTTAAACTAAAAAAGAAATGACAGTCAGTAGTTACCAACACACAGATGTCAGAGATATTAGAATTACAGGACAAAGATTTTAGAACAGTCATCAAATAACATAATAAAATGAGCAGTTACAAACACACATGATACAGATGAGAAAGTAAGAAAGTCTTCTCAGCGAAACAGAAATCTAAGCAAAGAAATGGAAGGTATAAAGAATACTGAAAAATGAAATAATCACATAAAAAACTCAATGTATGGGCTCAACAGCAGAAGAGAGAGAATAGAAGAAAGGAATCAGTGACCTGGAAGACTGACAAATAGAAAATGCCTAATCTGAACCACACAAAGATTGTAAACTCAACAAACAAACAAAAACAAAGCCAAAACAGAACCTCATTGACTGTGGGGCTGTAAAAAATATCTAACATATGTGTGTCATCTGAGTGCTAGAAAAAGAGAAATAAGCACCCTTAAAAAACACTGAAAGAATATTAGTTGAAAACTTTTCCCACTTGGCAAAGGACAACAACTTATAGATTTAAAATATTGAGTGACTTCCAAACAGGATTAATCCAAATAACTTCACATCAAGACACATCATATTCAACCTTGTGAAAATTAAAGACAAAAGAAAAATCTTGAAAGCAACAAGAGATAAGCAAGACCTTACCTATAGCAGAGAATGTGAATGGCAGTGTATTTCTCATCAGAAGCCATGAAGGCAAGAAGGAAGTAGCATAATACTTTTTGAGTATTGAAAAAAAAAAAAAAAAAACCTTTCAAACAATCCTATATCCATAAAAATATTATTCAGAAATTTGAAAGAAGTATTTAAAAATTATTAGATGAATGAAAATTAAGATAGTTTGCCACTACTAGACATCCTAAATGAATGGCTAAAGGAAGTTCTCTAAACAGAAAGAAAACAATACAAAAAGGGGACTTGGAGCATAAGGAAGGAAAAAAGAACAAAATTAGCAAACATATGAGTAAATCCTTAGTTTTTCTGAATTATGTTTGATGGTAAAAGAAAAAAATACTTTCTGATGTGATTTTAAATATGACTATATATGTATATGGATATATGAAATATATAAGGCAATTATATTAAACTAGGAAAGTTAAGAGGATGTAAAGGGAGGTGAGGTTTCTACACCTCACACGGACTGGAAAAATAATAGCACTAGGTAATTATGATAAGTTATATAGGTAAAATGTAAATCCTGGAACAACCACTGACATGTTATATAGTGAGATACACTTAAAAACACTATAGAGAAATTAAAATCTTCTCATTTTAAAAGCCATAGAAATGCAATGAAAAGAAAACAGAGAAAGGAAAAAGATAAGTAACGGAAAAGAAGATTAAGTAATGTACTTAAGCCCTAACATATCAAACATCACATTAAATGTAAATGGTCTAACTACACCAATTAAAATATGTTGTTAGGGTGGGTTACAAAACATAATCCAGATACATACTGTCTACTAGAACTTTACTGCAAACATTATATATAGATAATATAGGCAGGCTGCAAATGAAAGAATGAAAAGATATTTTTTATGCAAACATTATTCAACGAAAGCAGTAATATGTATGTTTACATCAGATAAAGTAGACATCAGCGCAAAGAAAATTACCAGAGTTAGAGGGGGGCATATAGTGATAAAAGGGAACAGCCCTCAAGAAGATATGGTAATCCTGACTGAGTATTAGCAAAAATTAGAGCTGCAGAATGAGAAACAAAAACAGAAAGAACTAAAAGTCTAAATAGACAAATACACAATATAGTCAGTAAGTTTACGGGCACTTTCCCCAAAATTTATAGAATAACTAGAAAGTCATCAAGGATATAGAATAACAACATCATCAACCACTGGGATCTAATGAGCAGTTACAGAGAACTTCACCCAGCAACAACAGAATGTTCATTATTTTCAAGTGCTTGAGAAACATGTACCAAATTAAGTCACACCCTGGGCTACAAAATAAATCTTGAAAATTTAAAATAATTAAAATTACTTAATGCTTCTCTAACTACACGGAAATCAATCTAAAGATCAGTAACAGAAAGCCAGAAAATCTTTAAAGGCTAGGAAGTGAAACATCATATTTATAAACATTCCATACATCAAATAGCAATTCATAAATGAATTTTTAATTTAGTGACTTGAATAAAAATGAAATAGAGCATATCAACATTTGCGTAGTATAACTAAAGCAATGCTAAGAAGAAAATTTGCAACAACTAATTTAATACGTTAGAGAACAAGAAAGCCTCAAATGAATAATCTATGCTCCCATGTCAAATACATACAAAAATGAAAATATCAAAGTGAACTCAAAGTAAAGAGAAGGAAGATAAGATTAATAAGAGAAGAAACTGGTAAAACTGAAATTACAGAAAATCAATAAAGAAAAAACCTGATTCTCAAAAGATTATAAAAGTCGCAAAATTCTATTAAATTTGGCAAATAACAAAAGAGAGGGAG